CTTATCAAGCCATGCTGTGGCAGGTGTCCTGCATATAAAGTAGAGGAAGATGGGCACAGGTGTTATGTCAGGGCCAGTCTTCCTCAGCAAAAAGAGGAGGATTGGCAGCAGATGTTAGCTCAGGGCTAATCTTCCTCAAAAAACAAAACAAAACAAAACAGAAACACTACAACCCAATTAAAAAATGGACAAAGAATTTGAGTACGTTCCTCCAAAAAAGATGTAGAAATAGCCAATAAACACATGAAAAAATGTTTAACATCATTAATCATTAGGGAAATGCAAATCAAAACCACAATGAGGTATCATTTCGTACTCACTAAGGCAGCTGTAATAAAAAAGATGGACAATAACGAGTTTTGGGGAGGATTTAGAGAATTGGTGAAACTGGAACCCTTATACATTGCTGGTGAGAATCTAAAACGGTATTGCCACTTTGGCAGTTCCTCAAAAGGTTGACATAGAGTTACCATATGACCCAGCATTACCACTTCTAGGTATATACCTGAGAGAAATGAAAACATATTCACACAAAAACTTCTACGTGAATGTTCATAGCGTTATTATCCATAATAGCCAAAAAGTAGAAATAATCCAAATGTCTGTTGAATGAAGAGTGGATTTTTAAAATATGCTTTATCCATACAATGGAATATTATTCAGCCATAAAAAGAAAGACATACTGATAAATGTTGTAACATGGGTGAACCTTGAGAACAGTCAAAGGAAAGAATCCAGACAAAAAGGCTGCGTATTACATGATCCCATGAATATGAAATGTCCAGAATAGGCAAATCCATAGAGACAGAAAGTAGATTAGTGCTTGCCTAGTGTGGGAGGATTTGGAATGACTACTGATGTGAAGAATTTCATTTTGAAGTGATAAAAATATCCTGGAATTTGGGGCCGGCCTGGTGGCTTAGTGGCTAGGTTTGCACGCTCTGCTGTGGCCACCCGAGTTTTGCAGGTTTGGATCCTGGCCGCAGGCCCACACAGCGCTCATCCAGCTGTGCTTTGGCAGCGTCCCAAGTACAAAATGGAGAAAGATTGGCACCGATGTTAGCTCAGGGGCAATCTTCCTCAAGCAAAAAGAGGAAGATTGGCAACAGATGTTAGCTCAGGGCCACTCTTCCTCACACATACACAAAAAATCCTGAAATTAGGTAGTGATGATAGTTTCCTACTTTGTGAATATTGTAAAAACCACCGAATAGTACCCTTTAAAATGGTGAATTTTTATTTTATGTGGATTCTATTTCAATATAACGAAAGTTAATTTTTAAAAATATCTTAAAAGATTACAAAGCTATAGTAATCAAAACAGCACGGTACTGGTACAAAAACAGGCACACAGATCAATGAAACAGAATTGAAAGCCCAGAAATAAAACCACACATGTACAGACAGCTAATCTTTGACAAAGGAGCCAAAACATAGAATGCAGAAAGGAAAATCTCTTCAATAAATGGTGCTGGGAAAACTGGACAGCCACATGCGAAATAGTGAAAGTAGACCAGCATCTTTCTCCATACGCAAAAATACTCAAAATGGACCAAAGACTTGAATGTGAGACCCGAAACCATAAAACTTTTAGAAGAAAATATAGGCAGTCCACTCTTTGACATCAGCCCTAAAGGAATCTGTTTGAATACCACGTCTACTTGGATAAGTGAAACAAAAAAAAAAATAAACAAGTGGGTCTTCATCAGACTGAAGAGCTTCTGGAAAGCAAAGGAAACCAGGATCAAAATGAAAACCAACCCACCAACTGGGAGAAGATATTTGCAAATCATATATCCAATGAAGGGTTAATCTCCATAATATATAAAGAACTCACACAACTGAACTACAAAAAAACAAACAACCCAACCAAAAAATGGGCAGAGGATATGAACATTTTTCCAGAGATGATATACACATGGCCAATAGGCACATGAAAAGATGCTCAGCATCACTAATCATCAGGAACATGCAAATCAAAACAACACTTAGGGGCCAACCCCATGGCCGAGTGATTAAGTTTGCGTCCTCTGCTTCGGCAACCCAGGGTTTTGCCAGTTCGAATCCTGGGCAAGGACGTGGCACCACTCATCAAGCCATGCTGAGGCGGTATCCCACATGCCACAACTAGAAGGACCCACAACTAAAAATACACAACTATGTACTGGGGGACTTTAGGAGAAAAAGGAAAAATAAAATCTTAAAAAAAAAAAACACTTAGATATCACCTTACACCCATTAAAATGGCTATAATCACCAAGACAAAAAATAACAAATGTTGGAGAGGTTGTGGAGAAAAAAGAGACCCTCATACAGTGCTAGTGGGAATGCAAACTGGTGCAGCCACTATGGAAAACAGTACGGAGATTTCTCAAAAAATTAAAAATAGAAATACCATATGATCCAGCCATCCCACTACTGGGTATTTATCCAAAGAACTTGAAAGCAACAATTCAAAGAGACTTATTCTCCCCTATGTTCATTGTAACACTATTCACAATAGCCAAGATGTGGAAGAAATCCAGGTGCCTATCAACTGATGATTAGATAAAGAAGGTGTGTGTGTGTATGTATGTATGTATGTATCCACAATGGAATACTACTCAGCCATAAAAAAGACAAAATCATCCAATTAGCAACCACATGGGTGGACCTTGAGGGTGTTATGTTAAGTGAAATAAGCCAGACAGAGAAAGAAACACTGTATGATTTCACTTATTTGTGGAACAAATGAACTTACGGACAAAAAGAACAGTTTAATGGTTACCAGGGGGAAGGGAGTTGGGGGGTGGGCACAAGGGGTGAAGGGGCACACTTATATGGTGTCTGACAAATAATAATGTACAACTGAAAAATTTTCACAATGTTACAAATAATTATGACCACAATAAAAAAATGTTTTTTAAACATCTTAGAAGATCATCGTTTGGTCACTTGTGATGACCAAGGGTTGCTATGGCGTGAAATTCTGCAAACTGGTAAATTTCTGGAAATAATTCTGTACTGGTTGAGTAACAGGGTAACCAAATAGCTGATGAGGGAAAGCTTTTTTTTTAATAGTTTTTCTGAAAAGTGTAATTACTTAATGATAGAATATCACCATTTTGCCACACCTACTGCAATAGATAATGATGATCATTGGCTGCTCATGAGGGAACTTGATAATGACTGATAATACTGGAAACTACTGATCCGTCTTAACGTTACTAAAAGACATCATGTGTCTCCTGTCTCCAGCCTACTGAGTCCAACAAGGGAACGTGCTTTCTGGGGGTGCCCATTCACTTTGTCGAACAGTCCTCTCCAGTTTTGATTAAGGTGTGCATTGGCAGGCATCCTCTTTCACCTCCAGGCACTCCTGGTTTAACTTTACTGCATCTGGCAGCCCTTGTCAGAAAGTTTGATTTAGAGCAAGATGGAATTTGTGTTTCTGTTTTTTCTTTTTATGTTTTCGTTCGAATCCTGAGAGGAAACAGGGCCTAGATGACTTTACCAAATTGTGTTAAACCTAGGAGTCTTGGGAACTAAGTCAGTGGTAAGAGATAATCAAGACCTGAGCTAGGGCAGAGGAGATGTCATTTGGGGATATTAGGCAGGGCCCGTGGTAGGGGCTTTGTTAATGTTTGTTGACTTTTGAATGGACATAAGTGAATTTGTCCAATTTTAGGGTTTCATTGCAATGTTAGTATGAATTGTGCCAGTGTATCTATAGTCCACTTCTAGAGTTACTATGCATGAATTGAGTCAGTCGGGCTTCTAGAGGAGAGATTGTGAACTGGTAGCTGATAGGTCAAATCTAGCCTACAATTGTGTTTTATTTGGCCTCTACAATGTTTTTTTTTTTTTCTTCTTTAATTTGTTGTCAACACTTCAAAATAGTGAGATTTCACATAAAAATAGGGGTTTCTGGCTTCTCTTGAAAAAAGCAGATCATCTGGCAACACTGGGCTTTTATTCCCTCATGGCAACAACTCGGCTGAAGCTGAATAGGGACTGCCTTAGACCCAGTCCTCTGCTGCCCCTGTCGCTCACTGATCATTGGAGTTTGTGACCGTTACTGGCAGTGGTTTCAGGACGCTATTTTCTAAATCTTACCTCGTTACTTTTAGTTACCCTTCTTATATTGCCACTTAATATGCCCTGTAATTATGATACCTATCTGATTAGAATAGAAGCCTTGTGTTGGCAGGAAGTGTGTGTCTTCTATTTCTGGATATTCTTCATGGTTCTAGTATAGTGCCTTACACAAAGTAGGGAAGTCAGTACATATTTATGTATCTCTACTTTGATTTGTCAAAGTAATTTAAGAAGCCCAATAAGCCATAGCATTCAAGACATTTTTATTATATAGCAAAGCATCTTGACACATTGGTTTGGGAATAGATATGCTCTATTATTATCATTTTGAAGAAATGATTTATGTTTATTAATAATAGTTCTTTCCTCTTATTTTTCTTAACCAGTTGTCTCAGATAATTTTAGCGTTAAAATTACTTTATTAGGTTACTGTCATTATGGGGTTAATGACAACATTTCAGATATTCTTGACCATATTAATAACATGGATGCTTTGAGTTAGGTCTTATAAATATTTTCTCATAGGTAAATGATTACAGAAATAAATGGAAAAAGTTGAGTTCTTTACTGGGATATTCATCATTGGAAAAGATGTGGAAAAATGAATTTACTTTTTTAAAGAAGTGTTATTTGATACAAATACAAAGAGATAATGCCAACAGTTGGTGGTAATGTTAGAAGTATAGGAAAGAGCTGTGTCGTGTGCAGGTAGTTGCATTGTAGAGCTCAGTTTAAGAGCAAGTCATTGAACTACTATAAAGTTTTTGAAAATTGTCCTATTTTATGAACACAAACCATATTTTCTTTAGCCCCACACTAGCCAATTGGGTAATGATTTTGAATGTCTAGTTTGAACATTGTAAATGTTGGTTTCATGCCATGAATATTTCTTAACCCTTATTGTGTGTTTATTTTTATATTAGGTGAGAAATTCATCCACACTTCTCTTCAGTACCTTGATCACAAGAATATTTGGAGTTAAAAGGGGAAAGGATGAACTTTCCAAAAAAAATAGGTAAATTCCATCTAATGCTAACTTTACTTTTTACAAAATATTGTCCTGGCCAAAAAAAATTTTGAAATTTTGCTACTTTTATAGATTCATCTAGAGCATAAAAATATAAAAATACTATAGTAAGTTAATCTATGCTGCCAAATTCTAAGCCCTTGGGCAAAAATATCTACTGGCTAATGAGTGGACCTTTTAAAGCAACAAAAATATAGCAAGGTAGCAAAGGCTGAAAGTTAGAGCTTGTTTCTCAGTGCAACAGCTAAATTTTTTTTTTTTAATTTGCATCTTCTTCAGGTATTCCTAAAATGTCCTAAGTTGCTTTTTCTTGATGTGTCATCAAGTACTAGCTTGTGCAGTATCTTTGCTTTTACAGCTGGAAGTTTAAATGTTTATGATACACTCATCAGAACATGTCCCAGGTTACCTTTGCATTAAACTCTGACCAAAGGGAGCAGTTACAGATCTCGGCCACACAGAATAAGCAATACTTTTTACTTTGAGGTCTTCAGTATTATGTTTACTCTCTAAGATGTTTTTCTCTTTAAGTTTTTTTTAACATCTGGAAGGAAACCTGTCGAAACACTGATTATGGGTAATTTTTAGATACAATGCACAAGTTGTATTTGTTGGTTTTTAAAGAAGAGAAGCTTTGAATAGTTGTTTCTTTAACGCTTGGGATTTACTGGTAGTCCAGTGGCTTGCAGTTGTTAACACTAGATGTCACTGTCGCTGCATGTTTAATTACTGTGTTAACTGCATTTAGGATCCAATTTGGCCCAGTGGTCTTCCGCTTGATGATCTAGAGATAAATCAGGCCCTATTCCTCTCCTACCTAAAAAACTTGATTATCACACTTTTAATTTAGGTTTTAGGCTTTTGTTTATTAAAATATATTTTCTTGGGATGCAACTAAGTCTTAGGAATTAAAAAATATCGTGAAATAATTTTATGATGCACTGTTGGGGATTTTACTGAAACCTACCAGTTTGTCTACCTACTGAATTGTCATTTAAATTGCTACTTATTACCCTATAAAATTCAATAAATATTTAAAAGGAAGGCAACAGGCTATATGTTTGCATCCCCTGAGTATATTCAGGAAATACCAGAGAGGTTTGTTGTTTTTTTTAACTCCAGCTGTATTTTTTAAATAATGATAACATTATTCCTTTGAAAGGATGCTTATAATTTTTACTGTTTAGCCAGTTCCTAAAGAAATTCTTCCTGTCAGTAGTTTGAAATCACTAGTATTTGTTTCTCCTTAGCTTTGTTTATTTTGTTAATAATTCAACAAAGTGCTAAGATTTAAAACAGTTTGGTCATGTGAGAAGGCCGTGATAAATAATGGTATAAATAAAAGATGATATGAGGTTATCAAACAAGTGAAATTAATGTTTAAAAGTGAACTTGAAAATGAAGAAATGCTTTTTTCCCTTTTCTTTTTTATGAAATGAGTGATTCTTGGATGTGTTTACAGATTTGACTATGTACAAGAGAAAATTATCGGATTTATTTCATTTAGGTTGTTATCTGAAGGAAGGTGGAAGAATAGTGCAATGAAACCACACTGTTTGAATCTTTTTGCCAAAGGCATTCTGATGGGAGCCTCCGTTATAAATTCACTCCTCTTAAATAGGAAAGGTTACAAAATATATCACTCTCTAAGAAAGGGGGAAATGGAATATTCATATAATTGTTTTGAGTAAGGTTGAAAAGTGAAATGTAGGAATTAAGAAGTTAACAATTTTTTAAAATGTGGTGAACGTTTTTGGTAAGAGCCTTCATTTCAATAATATGAAGATTGGTATGTATCATTACACATACAAGGCTTCCATTCTCTGTTTAACCCTTAAAGAGTAGATTTCTTGGCAGCACCCACTAGATTTGCTCTGCAAAACCTTTAGTGTCTTAATTTGTAGTGCCATTATTTGTAGTGGTTCTTCTAGTTGTGGTTTGTTTAATTATGTCACTTTTTGTTGAAATGTTTATATGCCTGTTCCCTGCAGTATTAACTTCCTGAGGGCAGAGCCTTTTCCATCTCTTCTGTGTATATACAACGGGCACTTTAAGAATGCTAGTAATAATGATGTCTTGTTGGTTGGTTACTCAGCCATTGAATAACTAAACTCAGCTGATGAGACCTCACAGGCCGGCTAAGTCTACTTCCACAGCCACAGATTGTTCTGCACACACTCTTGCAAATGTGTGCTCTTGGTCAGAAGGGAACTGGACATAAAAAGAACATCTGCGTTTCCCATCTAGTGGAAAAAAGTGTCTATCTTGGAGTAAACAGACTTGGTTTCTAGGCATTTTGCTGCCACTAGAGTTGACCTTAATAGACTCCCCTTATCCGCTTTGCACTTCAGTTTCTCCATCTATTTAACAGGAATAATGAGATCTGTGCTCTGTACTCACAGGGCTATGGTGAGGATAAAACAAACTATTAACAGTTCATTTTCTTTAAAAATATTGGAAGTCCTGTGCAATTAGAGATACAGTTTGCTTTTTCTCTCTCTTACTACTTCTATTATTGTCCTATCATTGTCTTACAGTTACACTGTGCCTTTTGAGAACAGGGTCAGTCTCTTATCCATTTTTGCATACCTGGTGCCTAGTGTAGTGTCTGGCATATGATAGGCATGCAGAAATAGTTGCTTAATGAGTAAGTAAATTTTGTTCCTAGAGGTTTCTACTCCTGCCTTTGTTGCCATATAGCCGTGATAACTAACTGAGACAAGTCAGTGAACCTCTCTGGGCCTTGGTTTTCTCCTCTAAGATCTGGACTATTCTTGAGACCTCCTCTGCTGTAAAATACTAAGCTAAGGCTTCCCATAATTGTTACTAGAATTGTGAGTTTGGTAAACTGTGTGTATTCCCAGTGCCTCAAACAGTACCTGCCTCATAGTAGGGACAACAAGTTCCCTTCTCATATACAGAGAGGAGCAGGGGCTTCTACCTCCCCATTTAGAAGTATGGAGAGTGAACTCATAATGATTGAACTCTAGAGCCCCTTGGTCTTGTTCTAGATAATGTTCTTTGGATTATAAAGAATGAGAAAGTATAAAGTTCACTTGTTTGTTTTAAATTATGTTATTACATTTTAATTTTCTAAAGTTTCTTTCCTTTCTGTTGATTACTCCCTGACTGACTGGGCTTGACAGAGTGACTCATTCATCCCATGTAGAATCAGAACCTGCACAGCTCTGTGACCTGGGGAGTGCGCTGGGCTTTCCAGAACTGTTTCCGTCTGCAGTGTGAGTGGGCTCACTTTGATAGTTCCTCAGTCCTTACAGGGCAGGAACTGAACCAATGTGATCTTTAACTCTAGGTCTTTCCCTTTAGCCACCCTGTGTGTTAACTTCGACTATTCCAGTCCCAGGTAAATGATAACTAGCAATATGGCAGTCTGCAAAACTTTATTTTAGACTTTGCTAAAGTTTCATACAGGTGCTCAGCGTACAGAGCATTCTGTAGCTCTTGCTTTCTCTCTTTATTTGAAATCAATCAGTCACCCACTAAGAATTTGTAAGCATTTGTCATGAACTCAGTAATGACACGATAGAGGAGTACCTGAGAAGAATAAAACTTAGACCTTGCTCAAGGAGCTTACATTTCTGCTAGGGAAACAAAAATTATTTGTGAAACAGATACAAATAGAAGAAAACATACACTAATCAGCTGCACAGTATGATATGAGTAATGGATGCATTAGATGTTCATTAATGGGGGGCCAGCCCCGTGGCAGAGCAGTTAAGTTTGTGTGCTCCACTTTGGTGGCCCACGGTTTTGCCGGTTCGGATCCTGGGTGCAGACATGGCACCGCTCATCAAGCCATGCTGAGGTGGCATCCCACATGCTACAACTAGAAGGACCCACAACTAAAAATATGCAATTATGTACGGGGGGGCTTTGGGGAGAAAAAGGAAAAAAAAATCTTAAAAAAAAAATAGTTCATTAATGGGAGAATTTAGTGCAGTATTTGGGGAGAAGTAGTGTTTCTTATAAAGCTTTGGGGATGAATAGATTTGGAGTACCTGAAAACAGGTAGGGTGAGGAAGAGGAAGAAAAGAATAGTAATCTTGTTTTCTGTCTTGTTGGTATGATCTCTATTCTGTCCTGTTAGAGGGAGCTCATATTCAAATTAATAGCTTAGGATAGTTTAGTTCAATTTAAGAAGAAAATGTTTGTGAAAGCATCACTAGGTCCAAGTAAAATTGTTTCTAATGACTATATTAGGAGATGTTAAATTATATTTATTTTATTTTCCTGAGTGTAAATAACAGAGAATTATTTTAAAATCTTAGCGGTGTAGGTCTGGAAGGATCCTTTGAGGGGCATCTAATCTAGTCCAACCCCTGCTTATAGACAGATTTTGAAGCAATTTCCAGACAGACTGGCTTCTCTCCTGTTCTTCATGTTTTCTAGGAAAAGAGATTCCACAAGTTTCTGTGGTTACCCACTCCATTGTTTAGGAAAGAATTGGATTCTCAAAGCTAAAATTGAGAGCTGTAGGGCAATCGGGTTTTTATATTTTAGAGAATGTAATTATTAGAATTCAGAATAGCTTATTTGCTTTGAACTGCATAGTACTTTGTAGCAAGCGCCTGTTTAGCCAAACTGAAAATCAGAATTTTCTTTAACTGTAGCCAGAATAATCTTAACATCCTCAGACCAAAAGGATTCTCATTTTCTCCATTTAACAAGTATTTATTACTTTTTTACCCTGGGCCAGGCCCTCTGCTGGGTACTGGGATCCAAAGATGAATCGGACATACTCTTGGCTCTAGGGAAGCTGACGTCTAACGAAGAGTGTGGCCGTGATCTCCTCTGCTGGAGTCTCTGTTCCACGTGTGTAGAAGGAAGGGAGAGGGAGGGGGTGGGTGTAGCATATCCTTAGTGCCTGTTTGCATGCTTGGCATGTGCCAGACCCTTTCTTTATAGGTGTCTAGTTTGGCCTTTGTTGCAGCCCTGCGAAGTAGATAGAGTCATCCTAATTTCATAGAGGAGTAAACTAAGGTTGGTGAGATTTAATTATTTGCTGGAGGTCAAACAGCCAGAAAGTGGCAGAACTAGAGTACAAATCCAGTTCATCTGCAGGGCACATGGGGATTTACACACCAACATACACGGCTCCTCATGAGCAGTGCGTCCACCTTTTTAGACTTGGGCTTTTTTGTCAACCTCTGTGGGAAATGAGCCACTTTACCCAGAGTCTCAGTGTGGAGCAAGAATCGTACATCTCCCCACATGACAGGTTGATTTTAGGAGGAAGGTGGGGTCAGGGGGGTAGTGGAGAAGTTTGTTTCCAGATGACTTTAAGACCCCTTCTGGGGCCGGCTCCGTGGCCGAGTGGTTAAGTTCACGCTCCGCTGCAGCGGCCCAGGGTTTGGATCCTGGGCACGGACATGGCACTGCTCGTCAGGCCACATTGAGGTGGGCGGCGTCCCACATCACACAACTGGAAGGACCTGCAACTAAGATATACAACTATGTACGGGGTGGGGAGGGGTTGGGGAGATAAAGCAGGGGGGAAAAACAAGACCCTTTCTGTGGTGGTGGAAGACGTTATGTGCCTTTTGTCCCATGAATGTTCTCTTCCTCTGTGAGCCTCACACTGTGTTTTCATGCAGACGGAGGTGAGGGAGGAGCAGGTTGCAAGGTTTCTAATGTCTTACTGTAAAGCCAGGAAGCTAGAAATCTTAGTTTTCGGGTTGCCACGTAGGGAATGAAGTAAATTACCCAATAGGATGGCAGTGTGACCAGTAAGACATTTACCTCTGTAAAACTCTTGTATTTGATGATAGTTTGGTGCTATGGGGAGAGGATTTGGGGGTTTTGCAATCTTTGCCTATGGTACGGTGCCTTCTAGGCTTAACCTAATGTTTTTCCAAATCTTTGCTTAATTTTTCATTCATATCTTTAATAAAAATGTTAATAATAACTATTATTATTAGTTTGTATCTTTGAGAGGACCTAAGAAGCCATTCAGTCCCATTCTCATTTTGCAGATATGAAAATTGAGATGCAGAAAATTTGAGCGATTTGTTCAAGGTCGTACAGCTAGTGCTGGAAAGAAATTTAATGGTACTATTAGCTCACAGTAAGCTCTACTGGAACATTTTAAAAACTTAGTCGATTATTTATAAATGGAGTTTCTATTAGCAACAATAATACTAGTTTGGATTCAAATAACTTGAAAATGACTCCAGCCCCAGTTTTTGATATGGTCTGGAGGTGTCATTTATGCATTTTCCACAGTTGTGTATAGAACATTGAGTCCAATTGTTAAGGCAGAATAGATAAATGAGTATTTTTGGAGACTGAGAAGTAGAGTATAATTCTTATGTAACCCTTGTTGAGAAGGACTTAAAATCAGAATTAGGTCTATACTGACACTTCGGCCTGCTGAAGAGTCTCATGTTTCAAGTTTTTGTTCATTCTTAGGTCCATGCATCACAGGGAGGAAAACCACAAATAAAAATTTTAACCAAAAAGCACCTCTTAAAAAGAAATATGTTCCTGAACTTGAAGTGGGAATTAGTCATTGTGTTCTTAAATATTGACTCTTATGTGGACCAAGTGATCTTTGTTCCTAAGCACTGCTTCAGGCCATCGCCTTCTTTAATAACTAAGGCATTGTGGCTTTAGTTTGAGCATGTTCTATGGAATTTTGGCAATGCATGTATCCTCTTTCTGCATCTTAGTAAAAGCATGAGTAAATATTTTTTCTTAGCTTGGTATTTTTGTAGCTTACATTTTATATGAACCAGACTAATATAATGTAATACCAGGATTACATAATTTAAGACGTCAGGATCGCTTCCAGGACTGTGAGAGAAAGTCTTCATTTATCAGGGGGTTTGTTGCTCATTCAGTACCTGTAGAGAAATACCCAGAGCTATTTTCCAAATGAGAAAATGGAGTCAAAGAGGTTAAAGCCAGAGGGAATGATTTCTTTAGAACTTGGGTAGTATTTCTTCTTTATTCAGAACTTGGTCCTTATAATTATTGATTTTAGTAATGTATAGTTTAGAAATTCCAAGAATTTCCAACTATTCTTGTTACACACTGAACTTTTTTATAAAATATAATCAATACATTTTTTTCATTGGATCCTTGTTATATACCTTGGCACTCTAATATGTACAAAAGTAGTTGATGACATAGTCTTGAATTTCAAGGAGTTATCATTTATTGAGAGAGAAGGCCAACATGTGAACTAGTTTAGGAAAAATTAGTATCAAACTCTCTGGTACTGTCAGGGGATAGGGGGTCAGGGGAGGATGAGGTCCGGTCCCTGCAGGAGTCAGGGCTTAATCTGGACTTGAAAGGATGAGCAGGGTTTAGATAGGTAGAGATGAGGCTGTTGCATATCAGGTTATATAGCATGAACAAAGATACATAGGTTGGAACACACATTGTATATGTCTGAGAAAGTTAGGAAATAAACCAGACTAGGACAGAGAGGACACAATGGAAATATTTATCATTCATTCCTTCATTTATTCATTCATTCCTAGAGCAGGGATTCATTGACCATCCTACTCTGTAAGCACTGTAGCAGGTTCTGGGGCATGTATCAGTGAATAAAACAGACATGCTGTGGAGGTTAGTTTGAATTTTACATGACATTAGGATTCCGTTAAATTTTTTTATATTGGAATGTTCCATGATAAAAGCATTGTTCTAAGAATCTTTTGAGAAGTGATTGCAATCTGTGTCCCTGGGTGATGGGATTGGAGAATCTGATGTAAGACCCTGGAAGAGAGTTACTTATGAATAAGTTGTATTCTCTATAGATTGCTAAAGCATGGTTCCAGCCTGGTGTGGTTACTTCAGCATTTATTCTTTTTGTTATGTCTAAATTGAGTAGTGGCTATTTCAGAGGGAAATATATTTTGAGGATTACTGGTTTCCCCAAGATATCAAAAGATATTCAGTGAAAGATAGATTCTAGAGTCAAGTAAGTTTCAGAAAGGCTGGATTAAATAGGAATTTCTTTATGACTTCTCAGAACATTTAATATGCTGTAATGTGTTTTGTGAATCTTCAAGAGTGGGATATAACATGCAATATTTCTTCAAATTATCTGACCATGGAAAACCTCTTTCTCTCTCTTTTTTTTTTTTTGGTAAAGATTGGCACCTGGGCTAACAACTGTTGCCAATCTTTTTTTTTTTTTTTTTTTCTGCTTTATTTCCCAAACCTCCTCCCCCCCCCCACTACATAGTTGTATATCTTAGTTGCAGGTCCTTCTAGTTGTGGGATGTGGGACACCGCCTCAACATGGCTTGACGAGCGGTGCCATGTCCACGCCCAGGATCCGAACCCTGGGCGCCCGCAGCGGAGTGCGCAAACTTAACCACTCGGCCACGGGGCCGGCCCCTCTCTCTCTCTTTTAAAGAACATCATTTACCACCTTGTGTTTCATCAGACATAATTTGGAGGACTTCTGTGGGGATCCTTATGAAGGCAGGTGAAGGGCATGTCTCCCATCATTAAGAGCAGCACCATCTGTGAGAAAGGAAGATACTCATTTCAGATATATCTTGGCAGCAAAAGAACGGCTTAGTTTTAGTTGCAGTTAAGTATACTATAAATTATCCTGAGTTGTCAAATAAATATGAATCAATGAAAATTTCATAATTTTAGGCCTTTTAAAGTCTTGTGATATTTAAAGTGCCTTTTTGGGGGAATGAGCATTATATTCTACATAAGAATGAATCTTCTGCCATTCTGTCAGAAGAAGATAATGTCCTTTTCCCCAGAGCCTTTATCATTGCTTTGGGGGAAATAGGGCCTGCAACATGGTTGATGAACTAATCAGCAAGATCAGTACCAAAACCGTCAGACTATGATGTGTGGTGTGTATGTGTGTGTAGCAAGGGCAGAGGGGGAGAGGGGGAACAGATAGTAACCAGCTTTGAAATATAATAGGTAAGGCTTTAGGATGCAGTAGTATGGCTGAGTTCAAAGCCTTTAGACTGTATGTCTTGCTAGTAAATTAAGCAGCACACTCTGTTGTTGTCCCTCATCTCCCAAATAATGTTTATGCTTAAAGAGGCTTGTTAATGTTTAAAGAGACTCGAAATGATTCAGACTTGCAGCTGTTAGAATGCTTTTTGGCTGCAAGTAACAGAAAACCCAAATCAAAATTTTAAGCAACAAGGAAAGGTTATTATCTCATGTACAACCTGGAAGTTTTAAGTTCATTCCAGGTTGATAACATCATCAAAGATCCACGTTCTTTCCATTTTTTCTGTTGTGCCATCGTTGATGTGATGACATTGGCTCCAGGCAAGCTTCTTCATGGTTGCAAGATGACTGCAGTTCCAGACATCACATCTAGATACAACAGTGGATAGGTACAATATCCAGTGGCCTTGTGCGTTTCTATTTCCTTTTAAGAGTAACAGTAGCACCTCCTGTATGTGTTCCCATGCTTTCCCTCTCACACCACGCAGACTTTCCTTCCCGTCTTTTTGGCCAGAGTTAACATCTTAGCATGCTCCAACTTAATTCTGACGAGGAAAATGGATCCACCATAATAAGCTTAGACTAATCAGGATCCTCCAGTTGGGTATGGAGTTGGTGACGGCCCTTCTTGAAGCATATAACTACTCAGAGAAGGGTGAATACCCAACCAAAGTCAAATACTGTTAAAAGGAAGGATGAGATGGGAGAATGAATTTTTAGGTGACTAATGATGTCTGCTGCTACAGTCTTCTAGGCTATCTCAAAAGCTTTGAAAATGTTTTCATTGAGAAAAATGGCTTAGGGGCCGGCCCGGTGGCACAGCAGTTAAGTTCGCACGTTCCACTTCAGTGGCCTGGGGTCCGCTGGTTCAGATCCCGGGTGCGGACATAGCACTGCTCATCAAGCCATGCTGTGGCAGGCGTCCCATGTATAAAGTAGAGGAAGATGGGCACGGATGTTAGCTCAGGGCCAGTCTTCCTCAGCAAAAAGAGGAGGATTGTCAGCAGATGTTAGCTCAGGGCTAATCTTCCTCCAAAAAACCCCTAAACAATGGTTTAATAGGAGGGTAAGTAATATATGTCGTATTTTAGCCTAATAGGAGAATGTATTATTACTTTATTTATACAATTCCTTCATATTATTTTTAAAAGATATGTAGTAGTACAAGTGTCTAAACCTGTGGTTCTGTATAATTCATTCCTGTAACCAACTTTGCATTATAAAAATTTCACTCAGGGACACAGTGTATGTCTTCATACGTGAAAAAAGTTTTGTAGAGCATTAAAATAGAGATTCTGAATAAAATACAGTCCATTTCTAAGTTAGAAAACACTACTCTGCAATATGACATGTCTCCTTGGCTCATAGCTAATCTCTGATGAGCTAACAGAATGTTAACATTGCTTTTTGCGATGAGCTCTAATTCACTTTGGAATGTGACCCATAATTAGAACATTGATTTTGTTCTTGTAAGGCCAAATGGTATGAAGTCAAATGATCTTTCTAAATTTATTGAAATTGGTACTTAATTATTTTTATTTGTGAACCAAAACTCCCTATTCTATTGAAATTGAGTGTAATATTTTGATGTGACATTTTGGCTTCTGAACTCAATTTAGGCCAGTTGCCTTGAACAATCTCTTTTTCTCTGTCTACTAAGTTTCTTTCTTTTTCCTCCAAACTGTTACCATTTTGCTGTGCACAAACTGCCTTTGTAGAAGTGGAACATGAGGCTGTCTGGGTCAGGGCAAACCAGCCAGGCGAGACAGAAGATTGGGTCAGACTGGCTACGTTTGACAAGGATCAGTAAGTCTCTTCCAATTGGGCTAAATCTTGGAGGTCTAGAGTTTTCTATTCTATAGGCACAGTTCTAGAGCCATCCATTGCTCTTAGTACATCTTTATCTTTCTTGTATTTATCTCTATGATCAGTCAAATTATAAACAACTGATTTAGATGTGTGTGAATGATCATTTACACACTTGCTCCCCTTAATTCACTTGCTTCCTCTTTACCCCCTGTAATCAAAGCCCTCCTAGGCCACTGGTTCCATTTCTATAACTGGTGGTCTGTTTAGATGTCCATCATTTTTTTTCTTCATCATTCATTCAACAAATGTGCTCACTGGGTTCAAGGCTCTGAGCATTGAGTGGAGTACAGACACTTATAAAATATGGTCTAAATATCTGAAGAACAGTAGAGGAAGAGAGATAAAACTTGAACTCAACCGTAATGCAAGGTGGAAAGCCATAAGTACTGTCAACTCCTTTCCTCTCCCTCGCATGTCCCTCCCCCTCCCATTTCCTCACTTCCATGCCACTGCGTAATTGCACTTCTAGCAGAGCTCTTTCTCACGCTCTTCAAACAAATATCCTCTTTGAACCTCTTCCTCTTTCCCATCCCGGTTCTGCCGTTTGGGTGGGAAAATCTCACCTGACCATGTCTTTATCTTGCTGCCTTCTTTTGTGTTCTGTCTGTATGGACAATAAATGATCTTGACCAATAAACTTTAGAGCAGTATTGGTGATGTGCTTCCCCTATCTGTATTTGGAAATGAAATTCTGTGTACTAAAAAAACAATGTCACTGGCCACCAAAGGCCGTGAATGCCCAATTTTCCCCAGAAACACACCATAAGTCATCATCTCTGTCTCCTTTATGCTTTAATTAGGCCAACTTTTCCTTAAGCTTCAATATTTTAGGGAAATAAAAGAGAATTTCCCTCTCAATGGTTTTGTTTTGATTAGTTCTAATATTGCAATAGCATAGGTTTTATTTTTTTATCATTGTAAAAGTATAATGTTTCAATGGGGAAGTAAATAGATTTCTGTGGGCTACCTGCAATGCCACCATTTATATTTATGTCTTTGGAAAAATGTATTTCAGTTGTCATATAACCATTTATAAGCTGTGGCCTTTCCACAGAGGGACATACCATTTGTAAATACTTACTTCTTTTTATCCTTCCTGTTTGCAGCCCTGACTCCCTTCAAAATTGTGCTGCCGTTCACTGCCAGACTGGTTGTCTTGCCCATGAAAATTGAATTCCATGGCATTCATGGCATTTTCTGTGGAGGTTTCTTTCTCGAGAAATCTCTCACTGCCCCTACCCCCTCACCCCTCATTAAATTGAAATTTAATGATTTTTCAGGATTTTGTGTGTAATATCATTCTTTCTAGCATTTTTAAGTAACATTCTTTGTAATGGACAAATCCTAGTTTAGTCAATAATTCTCTTAGTATTAAATATTTAGTTTTTACCCTAGTCTTTTAAATAATATTATTAATAGTGGTGTGGTGAGTGTCTGTATTTACAGAGTGTTTTAATATTAGGGTTATTTCTTGCTGATAGATTCTCCTAGGTATAATATAATTTCTTGGTAATATGGTATATTTAATCTTCAGTTTCTATTTATATATTGTCAGATTTCTTGATAAGTTGATCTTTTTGAAAAACACTATACCTGCGTCACGTTCCTACTCAGGAATTTTCATTAGCTCTGTTGCCTATAGTCTAGAGTCCATGCCCCTTTAACTGGCCTTTTCCCTTTTTGTTAACCTTTCTCTTTTTGTTTTAACCAGCTGCCTACCATTGAGCATTTACATTCTGTCTGGTTTTTCCACATTATAAAAAGTAGTGCAGGGAATATCCTCATGAATTTTAGCTTTGCCCATGTTTTTTGGATTATTTCTTTGGATAAGTTATCAGAAATGGAAATTCTGGGTTAAAGACTATAAACATCCCATGAAACTGATAGCCAGACTTCTTTTAAATAAGAAGATATCAATTTACAAATTTACTAGCATGTATAATCTTCCCTACTAGTGGGTATTATTACTTTTTAATGCAAGTTTAAGAGAATGTGAGGGAAAAAATTACCATGTTTCAATTTATATTGCTTTTATTACTAGTGAAGTTGAACATTTACCCACGTTATTTGTTGGTTAATTGTATTTTCTTCAGCTTAGCTTTCAAGGCCCTCTAGAATTGGACCTGCCCTTTCACCTTATCTCCTATTATTCAAACCCACAAATATTTATTAAACTCCCGCCAGCTATCAGCAAATACATATACTCTGAGCAAGCTAATCTCCTACTATTCCTTTGAAGGTAAGATTTTCTCCTTTGTTGCTTTTGTTCATGCCTTTTCTGCTCCTAACATCCCTGTCCGTTCTCTTCTACTTACAGTATGCTGATTTTTCCCATCCTTTGAGGTTCAGCCTGAATCTTTTTTTCCTCCAGGAGGTCTTCCCTGACCTGATTGTGGCCTCCTTGAGAGCAGGGCCTGTGTCTGATGCCCCTTTTTACCCCAATGCCTTGTAAAGGGTCTGCCTTACATAGGGGACAAGGAAGTGATATGTTGATGTTGCTGGGAAAATGCACATTGAGGTAGGCAGATCTGGATTTAACTTTCGGCTGACTTCGGGCAAGTTATTTAGTCCCTTGAGCCTCAGTTTATCTCAGCATCATCATAAACTGGGATGATGATAAGATCTGCCTCCAGAGTAGTGGTCAGGAGTAAATGTGATCGTGCTTACACGGGGCCTGGTGCAGCGATGCTTGGTGCACGGGAAGCGCTCTTTTAGTGAGAATTGTTTTCAAGTTAATTGGATGAATAAACTGATCATCCCAGCACCTGTTGTTCTCCTTTCTTTGGGACTCATCCTGGTGTACCGCACGTGCTGTCTCTTTCTTGTGTTGGTGTTGCCTCTTGTGAATTAGTTATATACTCTCAAATCAATTCCAGGTTCTTAAGGGGAGGGCTTGCGTTTTAAGTTGTTTCCCATCCTAAAGCACTGTGGAAAGACTGATGGGCTGAGCGTAGCTGAGTAGCTTTGGTAGCAGTGGAATGAGGGCAAAGCAGTGATGTAGACTTCATTTTCCGTTTTTCACTAAAACCTTTGCTGGACCTTTACTAGGAGAAATTACTTTCTTCTAGGGCCTTTGAGAAATGTCTAGTTTTGATGCTTATTCAGCCAAGTGGAGTTAGTTATTCAGTAGAAAATGGTAAAAGTATCCAAATAACATGACTGGATTTCAGTTTTCCATATAGTGTTTCCAAGTGTTGTATTCATTAGTATTTGTGAGAAACCTATGGTTAATGCCACAAGAAGTCATAAACTAAACCAGATTCCCCCGCTTTTTAACTTTCACATGACTTGGATTAGCAACAGTGTTACTCCCGAATTTACACCTGGGATTTCCAAACCTTCTCAAAAAGCTGAAACGATGATTCATATTTAGTCACCATGTGACTGGGTTATTTTCGTTTATTGAAAATATAAACAATAAAAAATATCCTGGATAAAAATCTCCGTGTATTTTAACTAGTGACAGATGCTATGATCAGAATTTCTACTTAAGTCAGGCATTTTTGACATACACCTCAAGCCTTGCAATTAAGCTTTATGCCTTTCCAAACATAACAGTTAACCAATAAACCAAAATATCAGCCTGGTCTGGCTTAGCTCAGCGGTCTTTTGATTTCTTCCAGTCTGTTTGATGTGGAGGCTTATTGAGATTTATCTACTGAGCTGTTCATAGTTTGTAGGGCTGAGAGCACTGGTTATATTATATAAGATTCCATTAGTGACAGGAGAGTGTAGACAGTCTCTCTACAGTGTAGATAATTTAGTCAGTTGTGCTGGTCATGGCTTTGTTGAAATTTTTAAGACTTTTGTCAAGCTTTTTTGTTAATACTCAATGATTTTTCTTATTTCCCAGTTTATACTGTGAGCCTCAAAATAGATGGAGTTCAGTTGCTTCAATTTAGCAGAAAATGTTTTAACTTTTGGTAGAAATCTTTATGTAGATTTGAAAACTCTTCCAATTATTTGGACCAGTTTATTCACAAGGGAAATAAAAATAGAAATATACAGTAATCAATTATAAATATTTGCTATATGGGGAGTGAGACATCATTCCATTGTATTGTTCGTGGTAGTAATAGTATCAATATACCCAACTTTATAACATAAAGCCTACAGATGACTTTCACATACATACTTCATATAATCCTGATACGAATACTCAGTAAGGTAAGTATTAATGTCCTCATTCTAAATAACACACTTGGAATTTACTTTATTAGTTTGCTGCGTGTCTCATACCCAGTATGAAGCAGAGCTCGTGTTCAAATTCAGGTATGACTCCTAATCCAGTTATTTTCCCATTACACTGAAGCTTTTTGTTCTATAACATACAGTATTTCTAAAAGTAACAAAGTTTTGCCAAACAGCTTTCCAGTGGCTTAATCACATCCTCTTTCCTAAGACGTAAAGTAAAATTACCCTTGTTTACCCTGCTGGAGACAAGAAAGTAAGATCGTGTTGGAGGAATAACGAAACACATTCATTCTTTCTGCCTCAGTTGCCTCTTATATCAAATGAGGAAAACGCTAGCACTTACCTCGTAGGGTTTTTCGGCAGATTAGGTGAGTTAATACGTGCAAGGACATTAGAAGAGTGCCCAGCACAGAGTAAATGACAATACATTTAGCTATTGTTAGTGTTTATTTATTCAGCAGGGTTTATTAACCCACTGCTATGTGCCAGGTAATGTGCTGGACATTGGAAGATAAATAATTCGAAGTCTTTGCCCTCAGGGGTCTTACAATCAAGCAGAGGAGACATACTCCAGGCTACACACCGTTAGCATGAATGTTCTGTGTAGAGGCATGCGAGGAGAGGTTTGGAAGCACAGAGTAGGGATGAGTTCCTACTTGTCAGGAGAGGCCTCCTGTAAAAGTCAGGGCCTGAGTTTGAAGGATAAGTAGAAGTGAGCCGAGTGAAGAAAAACAGTATGGGAAAGAGAGCCAGGAGGATAAATGATGGTGGTGAAAGGTTGGTGTGAACATGTTTCTTCAATCCAGGATTTCTTGAAAACTGTAATATGCTGGTAGATACTGTGACTCTCCAGTCACAATGTAGTTACTTATTTAAAATACTGAATCATGAAATCCTTTTTTATGCAGTATCTTTTGAAGAACTGTGTTTTAAAGAGCACACTTTGGGAAACTCTGGATGGACTGGGTGGTGAGAAGTGAATTCAGGCCAGAAATGGGGTGGGCGAGGAGGATATTGAATAGAGATATTAAGACAGTAAATTTGACAGGACTTGATGAAAAACAAGGGGACCAAGGAAGAGGAAGGATGGTGGGACGATGGCAGATTTTTGGCTTGGGACAGTGTTTGGGGCTGATTCTGCCATTTACAGAGTTGAAGATTTAGTAGGAGAAACAGACTGGTGTGGGCGTGGGGGGATAGAGTTCAGCTTTGTATCTGTGTTTTGAGATGCCTTAGGGACATCCAATTAAGCAGTTCAATATACTGAGTCTGGAGCATAGGAGCAAGTTCTGGGCCGGATAAAGGAGTCATCGTGTGTAGATAGTATTTTATGCCAGGAGAGTGAATGAGATAACCCAGAGAGGGGTGAGGATAGACTCCTGGGAGCATCAGCGTTTAAGTGACATGTGGAAAAAGAGGATCTCTCAGCAGAGATTGAGTATTTCAGCAATCTGATATTCTTTGGGAGACATGCTTATCTATTCCCCTGTGCCCGCCTTCCAAGATCCATGAGTAGTTTGTTTTGTTTTTTGGAAAGTGCCTGACTCCACCCATGCAGGAAATCTATTTTGTGGGCTACTCCTTCTCTCGAGAATCTGGGTAGCTGTAGAAAGAGGCTCTTCACCTACACCCTAAGCTCTTTGGGGAGCCGTGTGATATCCAGCCCAGCCCTTCTGAGCTCAGTGGGGAAGGTGAAGCCATCTTGCATTGTTAAGTTTTTGAGTGTTAGGTCCTTAAATGTAACTGGAGAAATAATGAAAGAGAGGTATTCCACTGGATTAGACAAGTTCAGTGGATTTTAATTTTCCTGATAAACTATTATTAAGAAATTGTTTTGGAGATTTACTCTCTGAGTGGGATTAGCTAACCTACATTTTTCACTTGGATAAGTAGTTCTTTAATTAGAAACCAAGATTTAGTGAATAGTTTCCCATTGCTGTATATAGTGTAGAGAAGGCATGTGAAACTGCCAAATGACGGTTTTCCTCATGATAGTGAGAAGCGGGGAAAACAAGAGGAAATTATAATATGTTAAGGGAAAGGATTCTGTTCATCCAGTGTGCCTGCTTTTATCTTTAATTCTGGAAGTCTCTGCCGGCAGGGTTTTTTTTTTTCTTTCCTATTCTTGTTGTGCCAGAAGTTGCATATTTCTGGCAAAATGTTCATTACTGGCTAGGGGTGTGCAAGAAATCCTTTGCCAGAGAATTAAGCAAGCAGAAGTCTGTCAAAACAAATATTCTAGTTTGAAAATACAGTCCTGCGGGGGGAGGGGGAGGGGTGGATAGTGGAGGAGGCCAGGGTATGTTCTAAGGCTGAGTATTTATTTCATAAGAATTCTGTGTCCTGAAAGACTGTTACTTGTAGGAATGC